GGGGGGGGGGGGGGGTAAACGAGGGAGCGCCTCCCCTGAGGACACGCAGGCTGGAGGCTGCGGGAGGCCTGGGCAGGGGGTGGTGAGAGGAAGTGGGCAGAGGCCCCGAGGGAACGCCTGGTGCTGGTCACCCACAGGGAAGTACGCGGCCCTGGATGCGGACGCCATCCACTCGCTGCTGGGTCTGCTGGTCTCGTCCTTGCAGAAGGCCCGCCTGAACGCCGTCAAGGCCCTCACCATGCTGGCGGAGGCCCCCGAGGGCCGCAAGATCCTGAAGGCCCACGTGCACGCCTTCCGAGTCCTGGAAGTGGAGGACCCCAGCAAGACTGTGCAGCGGGCGGCCCAGGTGGCCATCAAGGTCATCGAGTGGAGACCCTGAGCCTCTCCTACGGCCAGACCCGAATAAACGGGCCCGATAGCTTTCTCTCGGGTCTGCATGTCACTTGATGTTAATGAAGCCAGATCACACCTCTCTCTCTCTCCCCCTCTCTCTCTCTCTTTCTTTCTCTCCCCTCTCCTGCCAAAGAGGACATGCCCGGCCCAGACGGCCAGGTCACAGGTGGCAGAGGGCAGGACTGAGCCTTCCAGGGACAACACATGAGGGAAGGGAGTTGCGGGGGGGACACAGCTGGACCAGGCATCACCCAGCTTTGGACACCGACTGACCAGGCCCTCGGGTGTGGCTGGGCACGGCCTTGCTCAGCCAGGTCTGCCCCCTCCCTACACTGGTAGCAGGAAGGTCAAAGGTGTCACTCCAGCCCTGGTCAGGAGCCTCGGCCCTCGCTCGGAAGGATCCCGGGTTCGATTCCGGTCAAGGGCATGCAGGTTCCAGGCCCTGGTTGGGGCGTGTGCAGAAGGCGACCAACTGATGTGTCTCTCACATCTATGTTTCTCTCTGTCTCTCCCTCTCCCTTCCGTTCCCTCTAAAAATCAATGGAAAAATATCCTCGGATGAGGATTGACAAAAAAAAAAAAAAAAAGGCATCACCGGGTGCGCTCTGGCTGGGGTGCGCGCTGTCCGCGGCCCCCCCACGGATGAGCCTCGGGTGATGCTCCTGAAGCTCTTCCTCCCGAACAGCCGCATTCTCCTCTCCTGCAGGGGGTCCTCCCGGCACCCCCACCCAGCCTCCCTGCTGTTGGCCTGGCCCAGGTCCGGTTTGCTTCTCCCCCAAAGAGAAATTGGCTGAGGCGGCGGCAGAGCTGGGGGGAGGGGAGAGGTTAGGTCTGCAGGGGGACCCCGTAATCTCTCCCTCCCTCCCCCCTGGTTCAGTGGGCTGCCTGGTTCGGCGGGGTGGCTGGTCCCCAGCCAGCTCTGACCCCTGCTGAAGCTCAGGCTTAGCTTAGCTCAGGGCTGGCTCATTCGTCTGAGCTGAGCTGGAGCCTTCCCCTCCCCCGGGAGCTTTGGGAGGCTCCCTGCCTCCACCAGGGTCGCCCTCATGCTGTCCCCTCCCAGCAGCCACGTTTCTGGTGGGACTGGACCCCCGGCTCCTGGCATGCCCACTCCTCCCAGTCACACCAGCCGAGCCGGCATTCCCAGTGAACGCACCCTGGCTGTCCTCCGGTGCCTGGGGCCTTCCCTTTCCAAGAAGAAACACAGAGAAGCCCGTGTCCCTGGAATGAGAGGATTCACCTAAATAGGTCCCAGAGGGCACATTTGTGTGCTTAAAAAAAAAAGTTATTGATTTCAGAGAGGAAGGGAGAGGGAGAGAGAGAGATACATCAATGATGAGAGAGAACCATGGATCGGCTGCCTCCTGCAGGCCTCCCATTGGGGATGGAGCCCGCAACCCGGGCCTGTGCCCTGACTGGAAATCTGTGACCTCCTGCTTCTTAGGTCCACGCTCAACCACTGAGCCACCCCCACCGGGCAGGGACTGGCTGCTGGGCCCAGCTGGGTCAGGGGAAACCTGTCTCTGAAAAAGGCCCCATGAGGGGAAACCGCTTCTTTAGGAAAATAGGAGCGCCAGGGGCGCCCATTCCTCCTGTCCCCAGCTCGCCTCAACCACAGCAGCTGCTCCACCCCCCTGCCTCCCCAAGGTCCCACCCATGGGCACCCGTGCTCCTGGGACTGACTGTGCAGTGGCCCAGCCGTGGACGCTGCCTCCCGTGGAGCTGCCCCTCCTGAGGCTCAGGCGCTGCCCCGGTGGATCCTTTGGGAGCCAGGGTTTTGGTGCTTCTTCTAGGCCCGCTCTCCCTCCACCCCGCACAGGCTCACCTGCGGGACCCGGGCCTCCGCTCCGAGGGTCCCTGCTTGGCGAGGCCGGCTCGCTGCCTTCCCCAGGCTGTCCCCGCTGTCCCCCAGCTCATGGCCTCCTCCTCCGGTCCTGGGAGGCCTTTGCTGACCCGAGGTGAGGTGGGCGCCCAGGGGGCACTCCTGAGCGTACAGTGCGCGGAGGCCAGCGAAGGCCGGGGTGTTGGCAGAGCTGCTTCCGGCCTCACCCCGCTCCCTACATACGAGGGTCCCTGGCTGAGCCTCGGGCTCCTCCTCTGAAATGTGGCCGATTCTCGTTTTTCCACAGGGTGCTTCTGTGGCTCGTGTCCTGCTCTCACCCCCGGCGGAGGGAGCGCTGGCAGTTGTTTAGGCGGGAGGGGCCTGGCCTGCAGGCCTTCTGTGATCCCAGGGCCACTGGTGTTTCCCCCAGGCCTCGTGCTCTGCTCACAGCTGTTTTCCTGCAGCATCTGGCATATTGTAGGTCCTCAAAAATGGCAGCTCGCCGTAACCGGTTTGGCTCAGTGGATAGAGCGTCGGCCTGTGGACTGAAAGGTCCCAGGTTCGATTCCCATCAAGGGCATGTTACCTTGGTTGTGGGCACATCCCCAGTGGGAGATGTGCAGGAGGCAGCTGATTGATGTTTCTCTCTCATCGATGTTTCTAACTTTCTATCCCTCTCCCTTCCTCTCTGTAAAAAATCAGTAAAATATATATTTTTAAAAATGGCAGCTGAAGAATTAAATGAGGGCTCAGTGGATAGAGCACTGGCCTACAGATGGAAGGGTCCTGGGTTCGATTCTGGTCAAGGGCACAGGCTCGGGTTGTGGGCTCAATCCCCAGTAGGGGGCGTGCAGAAGGCAGCAATCCATGATTCTATCATGCTTGATGTTTCTCTCTCTCTCCCTCTCTGAAATCAATAAAAATATATTTTAAAAATAAGATTGAGGCTGGGGACGAGGAGCTGGCCGGGCTAGTGCACCACAGGGTGTGATGCTGGTGTGTCTTCCCAAATCACTTCAAGGCACTGAGACGTCTTCTAAAGGCACAAACCTTTATTCAGGTCTGAGGACCAGGCGGGAGCCCTGCAGGCACAGCCAGGAGTGGCCTGTGTGACAGCTCAAGGGACTCTAACCCTTGGACCCAACTCCAATAACATCCCAACGGCTGGCAGGCTGGGAGGCCCGGCAGCAGCAGACGGTGCGGAGGGGTAGGGGAGCCTCTCGCTGGCCCAGCAGGAGCCCACATTCCCATCCGCAGGCAGATGCGCCCAGCGGGCCTGTGAGGTCATCGGGGGCACACACTGTGGCAGGAGCCCGGCATGGGGGGTGCGCACGCTACACAGCACCTTGGCCCGCAGGGCCGCACATTTAAACGGGAGAACAGGCAAGCGGAGGCTGGGTACAGGAAGGAAATGCTGACAGTAAAATAAACATAAGCAAAAACCCAATGCATCTAGCGACGAGAAGCCAAAATGAACTCTGAAGTGAAAGTCAGTGTTTATGCAGGAGAGCCATTTGGAGGAACGCGTCCTGTTGTGCAGGAGCAGACGCTCTCATCTGCGTGGCCCTGCACGGAGTGGACTCCGCCCTGTCCCTGCGGCTGGTGGCACCTGCTGGGTGACGGGGGCCTTGTCATTAGTGAGACCCGGGGCCCCACCCCTGCGGTCTCCCCACGAGGACAAGGGCGCCCGGGAGAGGCAGGGTCACCGCCCCGACGCTCTGTGCCGGGCCACGTTAGTGGTAGAGGACGTGGCACAGGGCCGTGATCAGGAGCAGGAGGAGCCCGCTGACACTGGCCACCTTGCTCCAGAACGGCGACTCCGGCGCCTCGCGGGGCTTCGTCCCTTCGGGCGAGGCGCTATGCACTGTCTCTTCGGGCGGGGTACCGGACTCCTCCGCCTTCTCCGTCTCCTCTTCTGGGGCCACTTTGGCGCCTGGCTTCGCCTCCAGGCCACAGTATATGTTCAAGGCCTTCCAGAAGCAGCTCTCGGTCCCCGTTCTCACCCCTGGAACAGAGGGCAAAGGTCAGGAGGCTCAGGCGCACACACTCCGTAGGGGGTCCCACTCAGCCGTGAGTCCAGCAGGAAGACCAATGGCCCCTGCTAAGGGCCCTACTACCACCCTCAGAGACGGGAGAGTGGGACGAGGTTGAGGGGAGCAGGTGGGGGCAGAGGGGGTGCCTGGGCAGGGCCTTCGGCTGGGCCCAGGGCCCCTGGACTGGGTGGCGGAGGTTCAGGGGCCTCTGCTGTCACAGTGCCGGCCGACCCAGGTCTGCTCGACATGCCCACTCCTCTGTCTCGGCCACGCAGCCGGACGCAGCTCCGCAGGCCGAGCGCCCTCAGCAGCACTCGCCCCCGCGGAGGAGGACATCGCTGATGCCTCACACAGAACAGACGCTGCCCCCTTCACAGCGTCGCAGGACCGTCTCAGGGCCCAGTAAGGCCCTGCAGGCTGGAGGGGAGTCAGTGGTGTCCCCCAGGAGGTGGGGGGTGGGTCTAGGGGTTACAGGAGAGCTTCCCCAGGCCGACTCTGCATAAACACCTAACTCTGGGGCTTAAACTTGGCCCCTGTCAACTCAGCGCGTGCTCCGTGCGGTCAGCACCATGGCCAGCGCCGGTCTGACCCAGCAGCAGCCTGGGGTTGGCTTTCTCCTGGTGACAAGCGCGGTGCAGTGGGAGCAGATGCCTAGCCGTGTGCCCGGGACGTGCTCTGTGCCTGGGCAGCCTCCCAGCCAGCTGCTCCTGAGGCTGAGGTGGCACCAGGAATGTGGAGCCCATGGCCAGGGACAGAGGAGCCCGTTACCGGGGAGGGCGGCCGGAGGGCCCCAAGCCGGGGACACCGGTATCTGCTATCGGTGCTGAGAGGCCGGAGCGGCACACGCTGGCCTGCTCTCTCAGGCGCATCATCACACCGCCCGCAGCTGCCAGGCCCAGGAGGCGGCACAGGTGAACGGCGGCAGATCGCTTGACAACAGCCTCAGAGCAGCGTGACGGGAGGTGGGATGGGCAGGGGCCGAGGGCACACACTGGAGTCAGGCTGCCTGTGTCCGAATCCCAGGTCCACCACCGCCCAGCTCGCTATGGACCCTGGGCAAGTCATTGGCTGCTCAGTGCCTCATCTCCCGTCTGTAAGGTAACGACTGTACTGCTCATGGAGGGGATGCTTCTGACAGCGCTGGCACACCACAAGTGGGTGGTCCATGTGAACCACTGTCATCCTCACCGCCCATGGCAGTGGATGGGGAGAAGAGGCAGTGACAGGTGCCCCAGAAGGAGCACTGGGCACCCTGTGGGCACGGCGAGCCAGTCCCCCTTTAGAGAAGGGAAATGCCCAGGGAGCCTGCATCCTCTGGGTGGTGGGCAGCCTTGCCCACGGGGTCACTCCCCCGACGCCCCCACTGGCCGGGCAGAAGTCCAAGGAGCCTACCCACCCCAGGTCTCCTCTGCACGTGTCAGAGGGAGCCCAGGCCTCTCTGGGCTCTGACCTGCCCTGGCAGGAGGGCGAGGGGACCTGCAGGCACTGCCTTCTCCTCCGGCAGCCTCTTCCCTCCCTGTCCCTCCCTCCTCCCCCAACCTCACAGCCTCCCGCACCCCCTGCCTGGACTCAGGGCTAATCTCCTTAGGCCTGATCCTGCTGCGTCAGGGTCCGAGGAGCTCAGGGCATCGTCCTGTCCTGACCCGATCCTCCAGGACCCCTCCCCTGGGCCGCAGCTCTGCCTGGAATGTCCTCTCAGTTCGTGCTTGCAGCCTAGCTGTCCTTGGACCTGGAGGGTGGGGCTGCTCCCCCTTACAGACTCTCCCCTGCCCCCCTTGTGAGAAGCCCTCTCCCCCTGAATCCCTGTGTGCCCCCCCACCCCACCCAGCTGCTCTCAGTGGCTAACAGCGGCCGGTTCTCGGGCTTCGTTCTTTGCTGTCAAGCATCTGCCTCAGTGGGAGGATGAGCAGCCCCCTGCAATGCTTCCTGGTCACCAAGCACGGTCCTCCTGCCCTGCCCCCCGCTCCCCGGCTCCTCCCCGTGGCCTGGATGCCCCTGCGCTTCACAAGGAACCCCTCTCTCCTCCTCCCCCTGCACCGCCCAGGTGGGTCTCTCTAGCCAGCCTACCTGCAGAGATGTCAGAGAGACATCTCCCTCAACAGCCCACAGACCCCCAAGGCATCGGAAGACACAGGAAAGCCAGGGCCTCTGCCCGGAACGCATTTCTGGGAAGGGGGGCTGGTGGCGGGGTGCTGGGAGGCAGCGCAGGCCACCCCCCACAACCCTGAGCAGCACCCCACCCCCCCACCCCGCCAGGCTGCGGCCTCCTCACCGGGCTGCACCCGCAGAGCCGTTCTCTTCACTTGCATCTCTGCGTCCAGGTCCACCCTCTCCTCCTGGCTGTTGCGTAAACTCCAACAGAGCCGGTGGAGCTGGGGAGGGAGGGACAGGTCCCCACTCAGGCCTTGCCACACAGGCCTACGTGCCGTGGCTGGCAGGCGGGCACTGGGGCTTGAGGGACTGCAGGGACCTGGTCCTTAGGCTCCAACACAAACGGGAGGGATGGGGGTGGGGAAGTGGGCCCTTGGCCACCATGGAGTTCGTGTGGGCTCTGCTGCCGGGCGTGTGGCCTTGGCAAAGGGTGGTGCCTCCCCAGGCCCCTGTCCTTCCGTTGAGTGAGGGTGGAGGCAGCTCGCTCAGGGCCCCTTCGGGCTCTGAGGGACCGGGACCCTGTGCCCCCGGGTGAAAGCAGCCGTCCCCCCTCTCCCTGGACGGACGGGCGCTGACAGCTCTCGCTCAGCCCAGAGGCTCTTCTGTCCCTGTGGCCCGGCCCCGCCGAGCCCGGCGCTCAGGCTCAGCAGGGAGCACCCCTGCCCTCTGGTCTACGACTTTGTTCTTTTCCTGAAAACATGTACGACCCCCTTGGGAAGGCACAAACCCAAACGATGCTGCTTTCCCCGCCCCAAGGACTGGGGTCAGCAGGAGCACAACTAAGTGAGCCTTCCCGCCTCCCGATCTGGAATCGGTGTTAGGCTCCTGTCACACCAGCCAGGCGTACAGGAGCCTCAGCCCGCCCTCTGCACATGACAGGGCCCCCCAGCACCTGCCTGCGCCCGCCTCTCGGGCTGAAGTGCGGGCACTAAACTTCTGCTGTGTTACTAAGAGGCCGGTCAGCCTTGAACTGCTGCCTGGTGATGCCGTGTGTACACACTGGCCATCCCCACAACACCCTCGCGCCCTGTGGGCCAGGCCCCGCGCTCCGTCCCGCCTCCCGGGTGGTGAGCAGGGCCTGGCCCAGTGCCTAGACACGGACCCATAAACACTGCTTCCTGTTCCGCTCCCATCCTGCCGGCTGCTCCTCTGCCCCCAGGGCACCCGCCTGCCGCCAGGCCGGTGGGACACACTCAACAAGCCGCTTGTTTGCCTGAGAAGCAGGCAACACCCAAGAGGTGAGAGTAAGAGGAGTCACGCCCATCACCCCAGTCCCTCAAGGTGCCAGAGCAGGGAAGTCTCCCACTGTCACAATGCCGGGGTGACGTGTTGGGCCTGCACTCCGCAACCCTGGCTGCCCCCCGCACCGCCCCCCTCACACACACACTGGCTCCATCCCTCCTCCATCGGGGCTGTGTGTGCAAGAAGGGAAGGAGCAAACGGAGCCGCTCAGCAGCAGTGCGGCCAGAGGGGAGACCCGGGGGAGCCGCCCTGTAGCGGTCCATCCCTGTGCCTGGCCCCAGCGCTCTGCTTTCAAAGCAAACGCAGGGGGTTGGCGGCTTCTGGCCCAGCTAGCAGAGCCCAGGCACTGCTGAGGGAACCCTGGGCCGGGCGGACCCCCAGCACCCCGGGGCAGGACTTACGTGCTTGTCCGGAATCGGGTCTGTGAGCAAGGAGATGCCCAGGATGGTGAGGAGACTGATGACGAAGAGGATTATGGCGAAATAGAGGTAGTGCACGCCGCAGATGATCGGAGGGCACTTGTTGTCTGCCGAGCAGGTATGGCGCCCGTAGGCAAACTCAGACACCATCCGGATGAAGCCGATCAGGAGCCCACCGATCAGCCCCCAGAAGGCCCCCTGCGGGAGGAGGAGCCCCGAGGGTCACTGGGAGGGGGTGTGGGGGGAGGCTAGGCCCCCTCAGCCTCAGCCCCCTGAGAAGTTGAGTTCTGAAGCCAACCTCATCATCCTAGGGCTCCCCTGTGTGAGCACCAGCGGGGGTGCCTCTCGGCCGAACACAGGCCTGAGCGCGTGCGCCCCCCAGGCCAGGCAGAGCGGCAGGAGCGCTGCACATGCTGTTAGGTTGGGTCACACACAGTGACCTCCAATGTAACCTGTCCAGAGAGACCGCGTCCTCCCCATCCTGTAAGGGCACCTCCATCTCCCTGGTTGCTCTTCCCTGTCCTTCCCTTTCCATCTGCCCTACCGCCAACCCATGAGCCAATCCTGCCGGCTCAACTTCTCAAGTGTATCTGGAGCTGGCCGGTGTGGCTCAGTGGTTGAGCATCGACCTATGAACCAGGAGGTCAGGGTTCAATTCCGGGTCAGGGCACAGGCCCAGGTTGCGGGCTGGACCCCCAGTGGGGGGCGTGCAGGAGGTAGCAGATCCATGACTCTCTCTCATCATTGATGTTTCTCTCTCTCTCTCCCTCTCCCTTCCTCTGTGAAATCAATAAAGATATATTTTTAGAAAATATGACTCAAACGATAAAAAAAAATTCTGACAAATTGTGCTTTCAAAGTCGTATGAAAGCACAACTGAGCCACTCCTGGGATCTGTGCTCAAAGCGTGGCTGGGAGAGATGGCCTCACTGCAGGGAAGGGGAGGAGCCACAACTGTACATTCCACTGTGGACATGAAATCTCGGAGCCAGACATCCCCATAGAGAGCAAGGGAAGGACGTACTCCTACAGCCAGCCGTGTGTGCGGGAGGGTTACGTTGCAAAGGGAGGGAAACCCATCAGAGCCGGCCTTTACCACATCTCTCCGGGAGGAAACCCTCTCTCAGAAAGCACGTGAGGCCGCGCTGTGAACCCCTGAGGCACTAGCGACCCTCCTCGGGCAACCCCACCCACCTGCTCAGTGACTCTCTTGCAAAATATGGCGAGCAGGAAGATGGCGGCGATGGGGGGCACCAGGTAACTCTTCACGGCGTGCATGTAGTCAATCAGCTGTTCGCTGTTTGTCGCTTGGATTACAGGGACCCAGACGATGGTGACAGCAAGTAAGATGATAACAAAAAACCTGTCAAGTAAACCAACAGTCAATGGCAGTTCGGTGAGTTTTCCGCACTTGCCAATAAAATGTCTACAAACCATAAACGATTAATTCAATTATTCCTCAGGTTAAATTCCAGTGCCCACTCATCATTGTGAGGCAGGGGAGACAGCCATCCCCCTACACACTAACAGGCCATACGGCTGCAGACAAAAACCCTTCAACTTCTGAATGATGACGAGAAAAACAGTGTTCGTTCGCCTGTTCCTGAGTCATGGACAGGCTTTACCGTATCTGGAGGTGGGTTTGAGGCAGTCTTGCTTAAAATATATAATACGTGAGAACTATTAACTTCTCAGAAAGTACCTTTAAACTACGGAGTGCTGATCAAAATGTAAAGACCACCTCAGAAGCAGGGATTAGAGAGAGAAAGTAGATGAGCTACACGCTTCTTCATGCAGACAAAGGAAGGAGGAGGCACATCAGGCCACGTTACATGCACGCAGGCTGGATGTAGTCCAAGGGCAGTCACCGTGAAACCCTCTGGAATAAAGACAGGACCACATTTTACAGGTTTGTGTCCCTCTGGGCCTAGTACGGTGCTGTGTGGCCTCGTGGGTAACCCCGTGGCTCCCAGATGGACAAATCCTCCTACTGACTGTGGGACCTTAGGTCGGTCAATTCCCTTCTTTCAGCCTCTTTGCCCCATTCTCCCAAAGAGAGTAAGAACAGTAACACTGACCTTTAGTGTCATGAGGACTGAACGAGATAATGAGACCCTGTACGTAAATCTCCTCACCAGGACTATTTTGGAGTGACAGCAAACTATGCTAATCTTTATCAGTGATTATTTAGTTCTTTTCCCAAATACTTTTCCTATGTGATTATAAAAGCAATACATCTTCATTGCAAAATGGCAGCAAAAATATGTAGAGTCGTACTGTGCACAGACAGGCTGATTCCATACACAGCCTTACGGTCTACACGTTTCATGGAACTGAAGCGTGAGAGCAAGCCTTCACCTGGCCGTGACCATGAGCTCCCGCTCCGTGGCTGTCGGCCGGATCTGGGTGTAGATGTCCACGGTGAAGAGGGTGCTGGCGCTGTTGAAGATGGAGGTCAGGGTGGACATGAGAGACGCCCACAGTGCGGACAGCATCAGGCCTCGGGCACCTGGAAGACAGGGACATTTCCTGGACCTCGGCTCTGTCCAGGCCGGAGGTGGAGTAGGCCTCCTCAGGAACCTTTCCAGGTCCCACATTTTCTCTACAAAATGTGCAAGTCCTGTTTGGAGTGAGGTTTCATCGCCGAGAGGTGAACACATGATGTTTGTCCTCGCTTGGTGACGAGACGTTCTCGCTCCCGGCGATGTCTTGATATAATGATGGGAGCGACTCTCCCTGAGAGTTACTTTGTGCCAGAACATTCCTTAGGCATCAGCCTGCCGATCCTCCCTCCCACCCCGTGCGACAGACACCACTGCTGCCTCCCCCTTCACAGATGAGGAGCCAGAGGCGCAGAGAAGGTCAGACTCTAGACAGGTGGTGCTGCTCCTTGTGCCTCAGTGTCTTCATCTGTAAAATGGGCATAAAAGCACTTACCACAGGCTGCTGTTAAGATTAAGACAAATTAAGTAGACGGGTCAGCACAATTCTCAATACAGAGTGCTCCACCAATGGCAGCGATAACCACAGCCATCCAGCCATGCGACCCGTCAGGCTACTGCGAGGCAGGGACCCTGATCTGCTGGGAGCCTAAAGGGTACATAATGGGCTGCTCGGGCCAGGCACACGGGTGTCCTTGGACTTGGCCTGCTCCAGGCGCCCTACAGTCCTGTCTCACTCATGCCTCCACTTCCGCCAGAGGGACGGCTGCCTGGCAGATGAGCTCTCACAGCCTGAGGCACACGCTCCCATGCGGACACAGATCCTGATCTCTGTGGCCTGGCAGGGTCCATTTCTTTCTTCCTCTTCTTTCCAAATATTTTTAAAATACATTTTTAATGATTTCAGAGAGGAAATAAGAGGGAGAGAGAGCTAGAAACATCGACGATGAGAATCATTATCGGCTGCCTCCTGCATTCCCCACGGGGGATCACGCCCGAAATCTGGGCCTGTGCCCTGACCGGGAATCGAACCATGACCTCCGGGTTCATAAGTCAATGCTCCACTTGGAGCCTCGCTGGCCGGGCGGCAGGATCCCCTCCTTACCTTTGGGCAGCAGCCCGATGATCAGCAAAGCGTAGGCGAGGGGGCTGCAGGAGCTTTTGGAGCCACAGTGCTTGTCACACTCGGAAGGTGTGACACAGGCCACTTTGTCTGCAGAGAGAGACCAGCAAGTTGGCCCTGGAGCTCTAAGATCAGCTCAGGGAGAGGAACGCAATGGGAATTAGATTCCTCATTGGACCGGTTCTGGGGCGACGGTGACCCTTCCGGTTCATGATCCTAGACACTCTTGGGGAGCTGGGAGTAGAGACAAAAGCTGGGAGTTAGGCGCTGAGGAGTCAAGTAAGCTGATGCTTCTGCCAATTCACTGGCCCACAGCCAGTCCCGTGACCTCCACACGCCGTTTAACGATCCAGCTACTGGTTAGGAAAGCCAGAGGATTGCTCACCGAATGTGTGACAACTCATGACCCTGCTCCCTTGGCCCGGATAGGGTACTTGGGAGGGAATAAAGGGAAGGAAGGGAGTGAATGGGATGTACCCTTCAAGAGCTTACATCCAGAATAGAGAGCTGCCCTGTGAGAAACCCCACAGTGAACTAACACACACCGACCAGGAGGAGGCAGGCCATCGCCCAGAGAGCGGGGACAGTGGGTGGCTCTGTTGGGGACAGCAATCTAGCTGAGGCAGTGGTCACCACGCTCCTGGAGAAAGAACGTAAAGCTCACGGGGGTGGCACAGTGCACGTCCGTTCATCCGCCCGCGCTCCCCTCCCCCGGCGGTGGTAACGCAACCTCAGCCGGGATGGTGTGGCTTGGGAGGCCCGGGAGCCAGGCCTGGCCATTCGGGAAATCCCTTCTCCTTGGTCACCAGGCCTGGTGCCTGTCACCCACGTGGGCTCGCGAGGACGCCCCTGGGGTTTCTGCAGGAACCACTGGGAGAGGAAATACCGTTGCTTTGGGGGGTGGGCTGGCGGGAGAGAGGCTGGTGCTCCCGTGACAGTCTTGCCACCGGATGGCCTGAAGGTGACGCCAGCCCAGAAAGAGGAGCCAAAAGGCAGATCATTTTCAAACAAAAGCCCAGTAATAGAGGCTACAGAGGAAACTGGACAGAGGGGACACCCCTTGGCAGTGTGGCCCTGACCCGGCCGGGGAGAGACCCGGAACCAGGCCAGGCCAGAGCACCCCGGCTGCTGGCACAGTGTCTTCTTCCGGGAACATGGCAGGTGCCAGCCTGCACGACGAGTGCCTCCAGGCTTTCCCCACTTGGCACGTGTCCGTGGGTCCGTGACGTGGCCAGTCCTGAGGACAGGGACACGTGGTTCTGCCCTTCCACCCAGGGCTCTCCCCAGGGCATTCCATCAGCTCGATGCACCTTTTGGTCAGAGGCTGGAGGGACCTCGGCTTCCCAAGGCCACTGGCACCAGAGGGAAGAGCTATGCCCCATGCTTCCTCCCTCCCTCCGCAGCTCTGAGTCCCCAGCACAGCAATCTGCCCGGCCTTGTCCGTCAGTGAGCGGGTGGTCAGTAGTACTGGAGGAGGGGGGGGGCATGATGCCAGGGCTCCTGGGTCCTGGAGAGCTCAGGGGCCTATTGTCCATTTAATGCAGAGGCAGCTCCAAGGCCACAGGAGCGCTGCCTGACGCGAAGACCAGGTGTGGGATCTGACACAGAGCACGCCTCCCTTCCTGCTAGAACTAGAAGGAAAGCAGGATCAGGGAGGTGTGGCTCAGTGGTTGAGCCTCAACCTATGAACCAGGAGGTCACGGTTCAATTCTAGGTCAGGGCACAGGCCCGGGTTGGGGCTCGATCCCTCGTGTGGGGGGAGAGGAGGCAGCCAATCCATGATTCTCTCTCATCATGGATGCTTCTCTCTCCCTCTCCCTTCCTCTCTGCGATCAATAAAAACATTAAAATACAGAAAAAGGAAAAGGGGCGCGTCTCAGGGCAGGCTGAGGACGACTTGGGATGGGAGATGCCACCGCACGTGCTGAGCAACAAGCAGCGCTCGCCCCGGGGCCGGCCATGGTCCCGCTGGCTGAACAGTAACAGACCTGGGACCCGAGGCCCAGCACAGCTGGTAAAACTGGGGGATGGGCTCCATCCACAGAATTACGATAGCTCATGAAGGGAGAAGGGAGGACTTCGTAGCATTTAATGCAAAGAATGTGGGCCTCAGAGTCAGACGTACTTTGGGGGTGATGTGGAGTCCCCCCTCCACTGAGCCTTATCGGTGCAGTGAGGTACAAGCCCTCTCTGGAGCCGTGAGCGCAGGGACAGCATCGCCAGTTCCCAGCCCAGCACTCGCCCACAGGACCGCCAGGGGCAGGGGAGGAACCCAGCCTTCCTGCCGCGGAGCACTGGTTGCCTCTGCCCTTCCTGAACGGCTCTCTCTGGAATCCTCTCCAGCCGCCTATCTCCATGGCCTCTGCCAGACTGCTCTCAGCCGTCCCCCTAACCCATTGGCTCTAGGCCGTCCCCCTAACCCATTGGCTCTCAGCCGTCCCCCTAACCCATTGGCTCTCAGCCGTCCCCCTAACCCATTGGCTCTCAGCCGTCCCCCTAACCCATTGGCTCTCAGCCGTCCCCCTAACCCATTGGCTCTCAGCCGACCCCCTAACCCAAACCACTGGCTCCAAGGCAGTGATCTGGGCGCCTGGACACCAGTTCACTGTAGGAGACCTGATCACCCGAATGGTATCTGGGTCTCTAAGACAGGTGAGGATTGGGGTGAACACAGCAGGACCAAGACGTTACCTGTGTACAGGACGCGGCTGATCATTCCGGGCATCACAAGAGTGAACATGGGCAGCAGCTTCAGGTACCCGCAAAGGACACAGCCCCCCTTCACATGGTACATGCTCTTCCCTGCCAGGCACCTCTGCACAAAGATCTGCCAAGGAGACGCAGATGGTGAGGGAGGTGGCTGTCTCTCAGGGCACATGGAGCCCAGGCCTCCGGGTGGGCAGAGGGAATGTTGGGACCCTCACCCAGCTCCTCCAGGGCACCCCGACAGGAGGAGAGGTATGACCAGGAAGCGCTCTGCTCAGGGCACAGCTGCCAGAGGGGACAGCGATGGTGTGCGTGACCCTGGCCTCGCGGCCAGCACTGACGCAGTGCCCCGTCCCCCGGCAAGGACCAAACTCCCTCCGAGGGCCACAGACCGTCTCTGCTGGTGGAAGGAGCAGAGCCCCGAGACGTCAATCCAAGCAAAGGTGGGTTCCTGGCGACATATGTGTATTCAGAACTCAGACCAACTTCACTCATCTCATTTAAATGAGCTAGTAGAGGCCTTTAAAGATGCAAAAATCACCTCCAGAAGAGGTTTTACGACCCAATTTCATGGGCTCCTGCTTTCGGAGGCAGCGTGCGCTCGGCCGAGCAGACAGCACAGCTGGCAGGTGGACAAGCACTTAAGAAAAAGTCAAGACACGGGCCAGCGCGTCAGAACCTTTCGGCACGACGCAGGCACTGAAACGACATCCCGGAAGACATTTAAATAATGTGGGGAAATGCCCGCAGTGTGATGGTAACTAAACAGCCCAGGATGCAACAGTAGCACATACACCTCAACTCCATACGCAGGAAAAGTCCACAGGATAACCAACATGACCACAGGGGTTCATCTGCCCGGCCGGCGGGCTCAGTGGCTGAGCGTCAACCTATGAACCAGGTCGGGATGCAATTCCCAGTCAGGGCACAGGCACGGTGTTTTTGGTGGCAGGTTTACAGGAATTTTCTTGGACATAATAGAAGAGGCAGCCAATCAATGATTCTCTCTCATCATTGATGTTTCTATCTCCCTCTCCCTCTCCCTTTCTCTCTGAAATAAAAAAAAAGATTCATCCATGTTACTATGTACAGCTACACTTCCTTTTAGTTCTATATTTCCTCTTCACTTTATGAATACTTCACAATTTATTTAATGAGCCACCACTGAGAGAGAGAGAGAGAGCCATACAATTTTTAGAGTAAGTCTGAGTCCTTAAAAAATCCAACTGATATGCTGATTGGCTGCATTTAATTTATTGACCGAACTGAGGAGAACTGACTCATTTTTTATGTCCAAAACACTATGTTTTAGCCAAAACCGGTTTGGCTCAGTGGATACAGCGTTGGCCTGCGGACTGAAAGGTCCCGGGTTTGATTCCGGTCAAGGGCATGTACCAGGGTTACGGGCACATCTCCAGTGGGAGATGTGCAGGAGGCAGCTGATCGATGTTTCTCTCTCATCAATGTTTCTAACTCTCTATCCCTCTCCCTTCCTCTCTGTAAAAAATCAATAAAATATATTTTTTAAAAACAAACACAAAACAAACAAACAAACAAAACAAAACACTATGTTTTAGAGAATGATAGGAAAGAAGAAAAAATAAGAATAGTTGATGTGCTGTAGATGGCACTGGAGGAGAAATTCCTCTAACACCATTTCATTTAAACTAGGTAGGCAGTCAACAGGGGTTGGAAGGGAAACCTGACCCACTGGGTGAAGCCTTGAATCACCAGCCCCATGCAGTCACCTCGCTGCTACGCATCTATTACCTGATCGTTGCACCAGTAGTATACGGAAAGGATGGGGATGCCAAAGATCACTCCAGGCCAGGGGAGGTCTCCGGTAATGGCGTTTCGGAAGATATGGAAAGAATCCGCACGAGGCAGGTAGCATTCTGGCGGGGCAGTCCAGTTTCCCTCCTGGATTATGCTTGGCTTGGCGTTGGGGTACTTATGCAGTAGCTCCTGGTACCCTCCCACTTCCTTGAAAGCTTAAAAACAACATCAAATGTATCAGTACCGTAAACTGGACAGTAACACACACCTAACGAACTGAGGTTGCAAAGTGGGGCCCAGTTTGATGAACTGCATCTACTCTAATAAAAGAGAAACATGCAGAGAAACTAAGATGGCGGCAGAGATAAACACCGGGAAATTAATGCCGCTCACAACAATTGATTAATACCTCAGAAAAACAATACGGACAGCATCAGAACCAAAGGAAGCCTGGCT